AGATTTGAGTTCTGTATCAGGCTGCACTTATTTTGGTAGAGAAATAGGTGTGTGTTTGTGTGCTACAGGGGCCGGGAGTGAAGGTTTCCCTGTGTACTGCTTGCAGGTAGAATTACTATTCTGTATTTCAACTTTGCTTATTTCCCTTGTGTCTCTCGTGGATGTCTGTGGGGGATAAAACAAACACTGGTTTTGGATTTGATTTGCGCTGTGAATTTGCTTCTAATTGGCACCACCCACACCAGAGTTTAAAGTCAATATTTTCACTTTTCAAAGCCAGAAGGATAAAGCCAGGCTACTACAGTGAGATTTTAAACAGGCGGTGGAACATCCTTGGTCTGGTCATTGGTAAAAGCTCCTGCAGGGACAAGGTGGGCACTGCTTGCAAGCTGCTCCTTTGACTCTCCCTTCTCACAGCCCCTGGTGGATGTGGCCCGGGGCTTGTGGCTTTTGGCTGTATAATATTTCTATTGCACAGTTCACAGGGTCAGAAAGGTTGTCATCCTCTGCTGAGGAGCCCTGCCAGTGTAGCTGAAGAGGAGAAACACGCGTGTATATAACTTTTACCCCGTCCCCTAGCTGGTGAGGTTCAGTCCTGACTTCAGCATTATTTAAAAGAGCTTTAGGATTTTTTAGTGTTAGAGTCAGGACACTCCCCTTCTGCACCTTTCTCTTGTCCATCACTTATTTAAGAGACTTAGCTTCAAGAGAGAGAATTAAATGACCTGGATAGTTTTAGTAGGAATGCTGTGAAGCTGCTTCTAAGTGGCATTTTTGTGTGCAAGCATGTAGATAGAATGTTTAAAATTGATTTTTTGATTTCTAAGGTAGGTGTGTGCAGGGAAAGAAATACCAGAGGTTCACACACAGAGGTTCACGTGGTTTTTGTTGCTTTTTTTTTCCTTTGCAGCCAGGCTCATGCTTAAAGTTCTGCAATGCTTCAGAAATAAATTCTAGTTGTTATTTAATTGTTATGGATAGCAGTATCAAAGCAAACATTTAAATGCATTAGCCCCCCAAATAATCTGGTAAACCTATTCTTAAACTCTCTTCCAGATGAAACCAGGAGCTAGACACACAAATTATTGTCAGTGTTCTTCCAAATGAGTAAATTAGATCAGGTTTTTAAATCCTTCCTTGGATAGCTCAATAAAAAGACACTGGAAGAAGAGCTACACTTCTGCCTGGCCCTGAAAACATGAAATCTAAGGCTGAAATAGGGAGATGATAACAGTGGTGGTCAGATCAAGCACAGTACCAGGTGTAAGGGCTGCACAGCTGCTGAAAAAGGTGTGAGGCCAAGGGCCATGTGAACACACTGGCTCAGATCTCCCTCCCCAGCAAGACAGATGGCAGAATCTCCAAAAATGGCACACTAAGGTAAGAGTGACCTTGCAATCTGCTATGTTTTAGATATCATGACCTGTGGTTCTGAACTCCACATACTTTTGGCTCTGGAGTTTTGTGTCTTGGGGGCAAAGCCTGTGGGAAAGGAATAACCCTGGTCCTGCCAAGCATTCCAAGTGTGTGGGATAAAAAAGTGACATGTGAGGGGCTGCTGACAAGCATCTGGACTGACAGAGGTGACCCTCTGCTGCTGACTTAACAGCAGACATTCTGCAGGCTGAAAGCAGATGACCAGCTCTCTGGGAAAGGAGGAGTTCAAAACACAACCAGAGATGAAAAGGAACTTCAGAAGCACCTTAAGGCCCCAGCTGAGATCTTTTGAAATTCCTTTATGCCAGGCTGTCTGCAAAATGCACAGGGCAAGAGAGCCTCACACAGGGACAGCATGTGGAACAAAAAGGGAAAAGCAGGAAAAACAGCTGTTCCCAAACACCTCACCGGAAATTAGTGGCATAAGCAGAAACTGAATGCTGACCAGTGGTTTGTTACCTATTTTGTCATGACCAGCACAGGCTGATGCTTGTTTCCAGATATTGATTAGAAGGGTGCAAAAAATCCTTTACAGGTGTAACTTTTTTTTTTTTTTCCTGAAAATATCAGCAGTTCTATTAACCAGAGATGGTAGCCAGGCTGTGTAGTTTGGGGCCAGGCATTCTCTGCCTCCTTGAAAAAGCGTCTTTTGGAGGGATGGCTTAACCAAATGCCTGCCTGTGTCCAAAACAGCTCCTGTGAGCTGTGTGCCAAGTGAGGAGAGGAGGCAGAGCCACACTATGAGAAGAGTAATGCCCATTCTTGCAGCCCCTCAAAAATATCTGCCCCTTATATGGCCTGAGCTTCAGTGCGAGTTGAAGCTGTCAGAGATGATTTAATTCTTGCTGAGTGCTCTTTGACTCCTCTCAGAGTCCCAGAATGAAGCTGAGGTCAGGGGCTGGGTGGCTGCTGGCTGCTAGCCCTGCCACAGCTCTGGGGGCAGCACCTCATAGCTGTGTAATGCAGATCAATAAATCTCACCATAGGGCTGATCACTTGTCCCCATGTACTGGGACTGTCCATCTCCTGTGCTGAGGACTGAGATGAGGTACAATAACTGCAAAGAAAGGAAAGATGTGCCTTCTGTCCAGTAATTAATATTTCCCTTCTATGTACACTTCCACACAGAATAGGCTGGATGACTTCCCATTGAACTGGAACATCCAAAGCCATTGATACCGTTTCAAGAGAGTGCAGTACTTGTTACAATAATGGCAAAACCATCACAGCTTTTATTCATCTCCCTTTTAGAGCTTGTGTTATCAGTGGTAACTCTATCCCTGATTATTTTTGGTAGAGTAGCTCTCATCCACCTTATATGCAAGCATTACATTTGCTGCAGTCTAATCCTAAATCCGTAACACAATAGAAGGAGGAGAGGGCCAGCCACCTTTAGGGAAGATCTCCTAATTTAATGTCAGCAAAGTGTTTGGGTGTGTAAAGATGGCTGTTCATCAAAATATTGAAATTGCAAATGATTAGCTTGGATTGAAAAAAAAAATAGGAGTATATTTTTGTAAGCATTTTCCTGGAATTGGTTCAGATATTCATGCGTTCATTGGTCTGGTCAGTAATAAAATTCTGATCATTTAAATGTCTGCAGTAAATCAAAAGCTTTTTTTCTCAGTAGCAGCAGCAGCTCAGATGTTATCCTTCTAAATGTTATAAATATACCCACAGAAATGACTGTAGCACCAGTTCCTTTATATACACAGAAATTAGCCTTGATCAATATTATTCTTTATGGGTTTTGAATTGAAATAAATTTAGAAATTTATTAATATATGCTATTACAGCTCATTTATTCATATAAATCTTACAGCTAAAAGGGGGTATTATATCAGTTTGTCTCATCCTTTGTACAGCAGTTTGCAGAGTTTCTTTAGAGTAGCCTGTTCAAATAAGTGTATCTCACCCTTGGATTTTAGGACCTGTGTGTTCTGTGGTCTTTAGGTGGCTGTTTTTAGCAAGCCCCTTACAGTAAGACAATAATTTGTCATTCTCCCTGTTGTGACTAGCTTATGCCAAAATTTCTGCTTGCTGTATTGACTCCACCAAGGTGATGGTTCCTTGAACCCCTTCCATTTAACCTCGGAGACAGGTGAATTTTTGATACGATATAATCTTGTTCAAGTCTAACTGCTTTTTTCCTTTAGATGCTGACTTGTTCTGCACCAATGGCAAGACACTAACTGATTTCAGTATAGTCAAAATTTAATCCTGTTTTTTGGAAGTAGGGGGTCGATATTGTTGTATGCCTGCATTCCTCCAGTCAGAGCTTTAAATTACCAAACCCAGTGAAGGCATTCCAAGGCTGCATGGCTGCATCACCAAACAGGGGGGACTTTTCTCTCAGTTTAAGCTATTTCAAAATTTTTTACGTCATGTGAGCATAAAGCATCTTCGCTATGATTTATGGTTAGCTCCTTTAGCCAGAACTATGGCTAAAGAACAACTAAATTTTCTCTACGTTATAGCAGAATCAAAGAAAAGATACCTGTTCTCTTTCCACCCCACATCCCAGAACAGGTATTATTTGTGTGGTGACTTTTACCTTGTGGAAGCTTTTTTCCACTTAATTAATTTCCTCAGTGTAACAAACTCATATGATTTTTGCAATAGTGATTGTCATTTTCCTGATATTTTACCATGGAGAAATCTGTGGAAAGAACTGTCTGCAGAAACTCATGGTGTCCTTCTAACACTGTAATCCTAGACAGCCCAGGGAAATGTAGGGAGAATTTCAGGATGGGAAAGTGCTGCTAGTTCTGTTAAATCCTATTAAAAAGCCATACATGGAGAAATAAAGTTTAAACAAGGTTTGAGGAAGCTGCTTCAGAGAAAATTTGTTGTTTTATGTAGTCTTTATTTTTACCATTAAAGCTGCTTTTGTTTTGTTGCAGACTTTCATTGTAAAAATTATCAGGAAAGAATAAGATAATAGTGAAATGATCCAAGCCCTGAATGAATGCCTTTAAGGTTATAATTTCCTTTCCTTCAGTTGATTCTCTGTCAGAACTGCAAGGAAAGCTCTACCCCATTAAATACCAGAAAATCCATAGTGCTAAAGCCAAGCAGATATTTGCAAGTATCTCCTAAATTGTGCTGGTGAACTCATGCTATTTTGTTAGTAGATATTTCTAGAACAGATGGCCTCTGATGATGATTCTAGAATAGGTGACTTATCTATACATGTGTTTTTACATGGACATTTTAAACATCTGTCTCAGTAGGTAACAGTGGAATTTACTACATTAATTTCTGGTTGCCTCTCTTGGGGCTCTGGGATTTCAGGATCTGATATCTGCTAATAGGGAATTTCAGGATGTCTCGTTTCAAATGCTGTTTTAAATAAAATGAAAAAAGAAAATAAGAAAGCAGCAGCAGCAACACAGGACATCACGATAGCAGATTAAATATAGACATGGATTACAGAGCCATTGTTTTCACTCCTGCTAAATAAGACAGTACACTTAAAATGGAATGCCACTTGACCTTTTGTGTCTCGTCAGTCTGTGGCTGTATTTAACTGATGCAGGGAGGAAACATTTTCCCCTGGAACTGTCCCCTGCTGATATGACGATCGCTGCTGCTGGGTCACACCATGCTCAAGAGGCAGAATCCCAGCACTCCAGAACGCAGCAGGGATCTCGCAGCCGATGGAGGAGCTCTGTCCATGTCTCACAATGACTCACGCTCTTTTTTCAACTTATCTCAGCTGGTGCTCTCTGCTGGCCAAATCAAACCATCACCAGCGCTCAAACATTCAAAAATCACGTACTTTGAAGTAGAGATTGTTGATGTGCAAAGCAAGAAGCAGATCTGCATTGTGGACAAGGTGAGTGTGTTATCCCAGCACGCTGGGGCTGTGCCTGGTTCACACGGTGCCAGTTCAGGGACTCTGTTTTCAGTGAGTTGTGGTCGTAGTCTGTAGTAGAAGTATTTTCATTCCTTTCTCTGGGAGACACTAAGAATTCCTTGTGAGTCACAATACTGGGCTGTTCTCCTGGATTTTTACAAATAATCCTGCACTGGTTTGCTTTAGACCTCCTGGTAGCTCTGTGGACTCAAAGTTATGTCCTTAGGCTGACTCTTGACACTTAGATTACAGTGTCTCTTTCAGAGCACGGTACTTAAACATTTGTTTCAGAATGGATACTCATTTTTAATACGTTTGTAAAGCTTACCATCTCTGCAATGCTATGAGTATTTGCTGGTACCTAAATGTACTCAGCTGTACCCTACTTATTAGATTGGACCTGGAAATTTTTAAAATTTTTAGTTTTAAACGAAGGATCTTATCTAAAAGAAGTGTTCTGAGTTTTTTGTTTGGTTTGTTTGTTTTAATAATGTGACTAAAAAAATACTAACTACAGCCAAATTGCAAAAGTAGGATGACAGGACTGGGTTGGACGGAAGTTTATGAACCCATAAATAACAGCTAAAAAGTGCTTCACAAATATTTTCATCACAGTTTTTGTGATTCATTGTCCCTCAGTGAAAGAGTTGGTCTCTCATGTGCCATGAAAATGGGAATCCTAATCTATTTAGCCTACAGAATTTTTCAGTAAATTAGTGGAGTTTTGAGACTTACTGTTTTTCTAGAAAAAAAAATCCCTTATCCTCATTGACAACAGCTGGAACAGGTAGATAAGTTTGCTTCAAATGTTTAATTTAATGCCTTTGAAATATGCAGGATGGAATGCTACCACATTTCCAGTGTTCTTGGACATTTAAAGGCTGTTTTTGCAATTTGTATACCTAGTTAAAGAAAACGTCTCATTTGTTCATTCTGAATGGGGCAAAATATTTTCTGCCTTTTTTTTCTAAATCTAGTCAAAGAGGAAACATACATAAAATGGTCAAACAAATAGGATGACTATTAATAACAATTTTGATGGTAATGTTCACATTACTTTATTGAGGGATAGTTACACAGTTGTTAGCTTATCTACATGCATTTAGAATTAGGTTTTGATCAAAAGAAAGATAAATCTGTTTATCTTGAGCTTTCCTATAATGTCAATAAAAGAAATATAGTACAGAAACAGCATTAGGCAAAGAGCCACGTTTCAGGAATCCTTCCATGCTGCATGCTGCTGGGATGATACCACACCTGTGTTTTAATCTTTATTGTGAGTTTTTCTGACCCTGAAGATTTTCTACACCTCCTCCATACCATGGACTCTGCCCCTGTAGCGGTGAAAAAAGAGACACAAGTGGTGATTGTTAAGTACTATTTATTCAGATGCAAAATACACACAGGGTAGCAATAACAGCAGGAAGTCTTTGCTCAGGAACAGAAATATATGTTCAGTTTACATGGCAAGCAGCATGGACTTCTTAAAAAAATATTTTTGGCACAGTACCAATGGATTGGTACAAGTATAGTACGAGGCTGAGACTTCCAAGACTGACTGAAGAATTTGGTTTCTGAATGCTCAGTCACATGGCTGTTTAAGTCCCTTTATTTGCTGTGATAATCCCTCCCTAAGTCAACCCTGAATGTACAGAAGTTGAGTTCCTTGCTTCCATGAACACTTGTTAGTATTGGTGAACTTAATTTCAGTTGGTTATTAGAGCAAACAGGAGAGTGGTGAATTGGATTATGCATAATTTTCTCTTTAATTAAATATAACTAGTGCAGGCCCAACATGACACTTCTAATGCCTGTTTTCTGTTTGTGAGATAGTTATGATTAACTTATTTCTTGGGTTTGCATGTAATTACTGCTTACCAGAATAGGAACCATAGATTTTAAAATGTATGTATTTAGACTCTTATTGCATATTGCTAGTCGTTCAGAGTATTATGATGTAGCAAATGCATTTATAATATTCTCAGATTAATAAATCTAAAGGGAAAAATTGTGTTATAATGGCAGAGAGAAGAACCCTTTCCTTCTCTACCCAATAGAAACTCAGGCAGAGTGATTCAATATTTAATGCTCTGTGGTTAAACACCAGGAGCTGCTTCCAAGAGGTTGAGTTTTCTCTGAGATTCTTGCTTGTGCCTATGAATCCCATTCAGATTAGTGGGAGCTCTGTAAAGTCTGCAAAGTTATGGTACATTTAACTAGTTCTGGTATTTAGCAAGAATTAACTTCCCGTTCTCAATGCAGTATCAGGAATCTATAAAAGGTGTGTTTGACTGTATCATCTTGAGAACTCACTTGGCATCAATCCAAAGTTTTGAATCCAGAAACAATTAATTCTCTAAATTAATTCTCTATTTGAGAAAGGAAAAATAGCATTATTTCCTTTGGTTGTCTTACCTATCTCATACTTTTGGGAAGGATCAGTCCTGTATATTAAGTGGTTATTATAAGTTCTTGATTGCCTTTAACTTCAAGGAACAGAATAAATACATATTTGTTTTTTAAGCCTTTGAAACACATTCACATCACATTGCAGGCTTTTCCACAAACAGGAAATGTAGAAAAAATACTGAAAGGAAGCAGAGGAAGAGAAAAATTCCAGACATTTTGGTTCCACAGTCATGTCCTGCAGGAGCTGTGTTTTGAGGAAAATTACCTAATCTTGCAAAACTTCAAGTTAAATTCACACGAGTCAGCAACACTAGCAGTTTATTTTGCACATGCACGCTGTGAACATGAAATTCTTTATAGGACTATCATTTCTTTTATTTAATATTGCCAACCTGCTCTGGGGACTTTCTCTGCTATGGATATGACATTATGCAAGTAGTTCGGTGCACTTGAGCTTTTCCAGTGAGTTACTTAAAGAATTTAGAAGAGAAATAATAGCAGTGTGAGATATTTTTCCCCAGATTTGCTCTTGAAATTACTTCTGAGGTGATATGCCATGGAGAAGAGGCTTCTGATTTTGGGGGATGGGGAGGAATCACAAACTAGCTTCATTTTTTTCCCCCAGTTATTATGCAAAATGTCCCCAAATTAGGAGAAGTCTCCAAGTAGGGAAAGTTATTTAAACTTTGGCTACAACTGTCCTTAAAAGCACTATATAAATGCTCAGAAGAGGTGTCTTGGGACTAGGCACTGAAGTTTTGAGGAGGGGTACGAGCAGCCTCCTGCCCCACACACTGTCCATGACAGGACAAGAGTCCAGGTGTCTGTGCCAGTTTCCAGGACAGCATCCTGGGTTTTCCTTCCTTTTGTCCCTGCTCCCCAGGGAGGCAGACCCAGGAGGGGATGTCTCTGAGCAGAAAGGTTCTTCCCCAAGCAGCCAAAGGCTTTACAAGAACTGGTGCCTGAAAGTCACAACTGGGAAAATTTAGCCAAGAAATTTGGCCCATATTTTTACATTTAGGGGATAGTAAGTAAGAGTTGAGTGTCTTGTGGGCCAATCTTCAGCTCATTAACATGCACAGCAATACTGCATTTGTGTGAAGATATTCTGTAGTTGAAACATGAATCATACAGGTTTCTTGCTCAATGAGTGAAAGATGTATTTAGGAGGGAATGAATCTGTTCTTTGGCCAGTGTAAAACAGCAGGTGAGCCTAGATGATCAAAAGTCCTTTTTTTCTTCACAATTTATTAATTTGTATGGATGAAATTCCTATCTCTGTGTAAAGAGGAAAGCATGTAATTAAAGATTTTTTGTAAGAAATATTTTCAATTAAAAAGCATCACAAAATGTCTAAGGATTTTGGCTTCTGTTTTGCTTCCAAAAAGCCCCAGAAAAGAGCAGAACATGTAAAAATCATAAAATCTTATAAATGAAAGAAAACGATTCCTTTTTGTACTTTTAAACAAATAACCCACATTTTTTTTTGCCATCCACAACTTATGAAAAATACATGGCTACTCAAAAACTGTTTTACTCATACATTGTTCCAAAAGCCTGATGTAGGTTGGTTTTAAAGTTATCGATGTGCAGTAATTTGATTTATAAATGCTGTTAAGGCAACTCATAACTGTTTCTTTTATAGCATTCATTGTATAATATTTTTTTCTTCAAATTAACTTGTAGTAAAATGTATTTTCTCACAAACATAGTGCAATGTAATTAACTTTGCATGAGTTGCTTTTAAGGCATAAAGTGTTACACAGTAGAGTTTTTACAGAATAAATCACCTCTGGGGAAACCAGCAGAGAAAGCTTTTTCCCATCAAAAGCCTTAGAGCTTAGTATTTTGTACGATTTTGCAAGTTAAGCTGTAAACAGAGGTGCAAACTCAGTTTTTGGCTACTGTGCAGTGACCCCCCTTTCCACAACACTTCCTAAAGCTTGCAGAGGAGACCTTGCTTCTTCAAATATGCAGGAGGAGCCTTTCTTGGATGTGTTGCAAAGATAATGGAGGCTACTTTCCTACTGTTCCTTAAATCAGCTCTCCATCCTCTATCCAGGACCTTCTCCCACTGAAATCTCTTTGTAAAACCCAGTTAGTGATAACTGAACGTTTATGGTTCACAGTACACACTGGAGGAACTTTTAACTATGTTTGTGAGTTGTAGGCATTGTTTGCTGTGGAATGCCTACAATGAATGTCATGGGAATATTGTTATTTTTTATGGAATTAAAATGTCCTTTATCAATCCAGTCACTTGTACATACTCAACACTTCTTGCAGTTAAATATTACAGTGTGTATATCACTATATCTTTTTGCCAAAGATTAATTAGGGCTTATTCTAATAGCTCTGAAAGGCCTATTTTCCCCTGAAGGAGTTCATAAGCTTTCTTTTTTTTTTTTTTTTTTGTTTCAAAAGCACCTGAAGCAGCAGGGTCTTTGTTACCTGCATGCTATGGCTTAACAACACAATGAATTTCCACTGGCATGTCAGCAAAGCCATTTGCATGCAGTAATTCTGTCTCTGGTATCAGAAATCTCTTACTCTTTACTGTGAGTTGCCTC